TATTTATAACTCACTCAACTTTATTAACATTCCACTTTTACTTTTAAGTGCACACAGAGAAACACAGAAAAGAAAGGAAGCACAAAAACAGAAAGCAAAAGAAAAAATAAAATGTGCATTCAATGCCAATTTCTTAATACATCAATTACATTAGTAGCTAAATCAAAATTATTCCTAAGTATCAGTGGTGGAATGTAATTAATTTACTCAATGACTGTACTTTTGCACAATGTTGATGTCCTGGTACTTTGAGTATTTCCATTTTGTTCCTTTATGCTAATACTCCATTACATTTCAAAAGGTAAATGTGTACTTTACATTTATTTTACAGTCCCAGTAAATGTATAAAGCATGACACCTTGATTAAACTGCCTAAAAAAGTTGTTAAAAAGGTCCACCTTAACAGCATTAAAATGCTGCTAACATTAATGCATCAGTATTAATATTCCAATAACATGTATGTGTGATAAAGCTTTACTACTAATATTTACTTTTACCCAGGTAATAGTTTGCTGGACTTTTACTTTAGGACTTTAGGCTAGTTATGACCTATGAGATCTATATGGGACAATATGTTGTATAATTATGACTTACATTGCTAAATAATCTGCCATACGTGATAAACTGGATTTGTAAAAGTCTTATTTTTGAGCTTCTTTCTTGAGCTTTTATTTAACAGAGGTTAGTTTTGCTCAACAAAAGTAATAAACACGTTGAATTCCAGTATACATATATATTTTAAAATATACAAAAGGACTGAAATAACAATGAACTATAAAGAAAATCAAACCAACATTACACAAGATGTGCCGAGAGGAAAGAAAGGAATGGGCCGGGTTTTCGTTGATGGCCTCCAGCTTCCCCCAAACAGGAACCTGAAACACAGCACACACAAGTATGCATCAGCATATATTTAGAGTATATGCACAGTATAGTCTGCTCTGCTTGTTTGACCTCACATGGCTGATTAACTGTTCATGAGTGTGACGTGTAAAAGAAAACCGTTCTTGTGTTTGGCATACAGCATCCTACACAGTGCTAAAAGAGGAGAGAGCTCAGTAAGTGGGATTTTCAAAGCATTGTTTTTTTTTCTTAAGTCCTCCTAAGTTCAGCAAACAATGTCATACATGTAAAACACAAACCATTTGCACAGGCTTACAACCTGAACAAACATTCAGAAATTCTGGCAAAATGAACAAGAACTGCAAAAACAAGAGATCTGATAGTGTTTCCTATAACAGCACCAATGAAGGCTTCTGTTTATCTGTACCTTTGAGGTCGAAATTGTTTGTTGAAGGAAGGTTTTCACGCATTGGAAAAATGCGAGGCTCTTTGAAATCATTCACGTGATGATCAATGCCTTCTGTTTTGATACCTGCATGGTGCTGACACTTGCCTGGCGCAGCGTCAACTGAGAGATATTAATATGTCGGTATAGCAGACGCAGACCTACAAGGTTGGTAATGGAGTAAGTGATAGCTTCATTATGCTGCTACAGCCTGAGGGTTGAAGTATAATTTTTGAATACAGGTACAGCGAGAAAATCACACCATATGTAATGGCTTCTTAAATTAAATTGTTCCCATATTATTGCAAGTAAGCGTCATGTTCAGGTAGCTGTTACTGCAGGGCAAGAAGATATATCAGGAACAGGTGCCTTAGTACAGTTATTAAGATAATCATGCAATCAAGTCACATACTGCTGTGGCACGTGGTTAAAATGCTGAGCAGACTCTCTTTATAATTAAATACTCAACATATTACACTTTTCATATTCTGTCATTCACAGAGTAATTTAAATGTTATTGCAAAGCAGGTAAAAAGTTTAAGATGGCAACTTCAATAAACTTTATTGTTCCAATGCTTTTCAGAGATACCTGATTAACGGGGCTCACAGAACATGACTGAACCAAACAGCAACAACAGTTTCATTTGTCATTAGAAAGATATACGTTTCAAAATTAACCAGGGCTATAACTATCATGAAGGGCACCTAGGAAGTGTCAGGACTTACCTCAATTAGACACAAAATTCTAAGTTTTAAACTCAGTATTCTTACACTGGACTGTTTTAGACAATAAAATAAAGGCAGTATTTCTACACCAGAATTATATTTCTGGCATCATGGAGAGCGATTTAATCTGACTAATGAGATGAGACTGACATTTCTGCAGGTAGCCTACCTGATGAGATGGTGTCAACAGATAAAAAGAAGAAAAACAAGGTAACAACTTTAAATGTTACTTCCTACACAGATTGCTGTTAGATTTCCTTTTCTTTCTCACAATGAATAAGACAGCTTTTCCCTGCTCTGTCATTTGCTATATTCATATTTGTTTATCTGAAAGGGAAAATTACTCTTCATTACAGTTAATCAGCATCTGTCAAACTCAAACACGCTTTCAAACTAAGTTGCTTCAAGCTTTTTTAGGCTGTTTAACAGGTTATTATGGCAATTGTGCTCAGTAAAACATTTCCTTGAAGAAGACAAAACATCCATTAGCCATTATTAAGTCTTGAAAACAATGTTTTATCACTTACCTGTTATTTAGTAAATCAAGTATCAGAATCTGAATCACATTTATTGGTCACAACATTTGTAGACAGTCAGATAATAATGACCCAGAGTGCAAAGGATGTTGGAATAAATATTTTTAAAAAGCAGGTTACTTTATATACACGAGGTATATATGACAGTATGCACAGCATGTGTAGACTGTTTTACTGATATTATTTACATGTTCTTTGTTGTTATTGTTTTTAACTGTGTATTTAACAATGAGAATAAATAATTGACAGGACAATATAAGTTACAGTGGATGTTTAAGCCACAGAGTCATCGCACAGTTAAGTTCAGTTAGGTTATCTTTTATTGAGCCCCATAAGGAAATTTATTCTCTGCATTCGACTCATCCTAAGTGTTAGGAGCAGTGTGTAGCCATCCAGCGGTGCCTGGGGACTAACTCCAGATCTGAGCCAGTATCTTGGTCAAGGGCACTGACTGGAGAATGAACCTAATATACATGTTTTTGATGGTGGGGGGAAATCGGAGCATTCAGAAGAAACTCCACTCTCAGCTCAAAACTGAATCTACTGTGATCATTCCTGACACTGAGTGCCTGGTGTTAACTGTTGGTCACAGCGATGTCTAGTTGTTTTGACGTACATTGCTCTGTAGCACTTACCAGAGGGGAGAGGTTGGAACAAATTGTGTCAGGGTGTGATGGACCTGCAGTGATCCTGCCCGTTTCCTGACTCTGGACATGTATAAGTCCTGAATGGAGGTCAGGTTGGCAACAGTGATTTTCTCTGTAGTCCTCCCTGTTCCTGTCCTGTTTGGAGGGAGATCCAAACCATGACAAATAGATAAATCAAATGTTATAGGTAGTATCTGATAGTTCTATAGTTATTTAGGAAATATATTTATAAGCTGTACAAAACTACACCATGAATCAAACTTTGTAATTCAAAGCCTCTTTTGTCATATGTCAAAAGTTTTATTTATAACTCACTCAACTTTATTAATATTCCACTTTTACTTTTAAGTGCAGGCAGAGAAACACAGAAAAGAAAGGAAGCACAAAAAGAGAAAGCAAAAGAGAAAATAAAATAAGCATTCAGAATGAAAGTTGCAGGTTAGACACATTTAAAGACCAGTTGTATTTTATGATTTGATGCCAATTACTTTGTATATAAATTACAACATGTAGCTAAATCATTATTCCTAAGTATTAGTGGTGGAATGTAATTAATTTACTCAATGACTGTACTTTTGTACAATTTTGATGTCCTGGTACCTGAGTATTTCCATTTTGTATCTTTATACTAACATTTCAGAGAGTAATGTCTACTTTACTACATTTATTTCAGTCACGGTAAATGCAAAAAGCCTGATAGCTTGATGAAACTGCCTAATAAAATTGTTAAAAAGCTCCACCCTAACAGCATTAAAATGCTGCTAACATTAATGGATCAGTATTAATATTTAACTTACAACATGTTTTGATTGCTGGGACTTTTTCTTGTAATGGAGTATTTTTATACTGTGTTACCTCACAATATAGGGTAGTTATACCTTGGGACAATATGTAATAGATAGATAGATTTATTTATCTATTTATCCAGAGGGAAATTCAAGTATCCAGTAGCATACGGAACATATATACATTAAACATACATTAAACCTACATTAAAATAAATTAAAATTAAAATTAAATCAACTTAAAATAAAATTAACTTATAACACCGTAGCCACAGTAAAACAGTGCAAAACAGTAAACAGCGCAAATTGAGTGCAAATGGAAGTAAATCAGTTACAGATGGATAATTGCTGTATTTATTTTATAATTGTCCTGCCCGTGCCCTTAACTAGGAGCGGTTGCTATAGTCTGATGGCCAAGACGAAAGGATTTTAAGTATATATAACGATAGATTAGAGTTAGATAGATAGATAGATAGATAGATAGATAGATTTAGATAGATAGATAGATAGATAGATAGATAATAGATAGATGGATGGATGGATGGATGGATGAGGGATGGAAAGAGTAATAGATAGCATAGAAGATAGATAGATAGATAGATAGATAGAGGTAGATAGCCTAGACTTTAGATTAGATAAGATAACTTTATTAATCCCCCCGAAGGCGGCAAATTACATTAAAGTGTACATTAATAAATTACATTAAAAAATACAATAGAATAAATACCACAATAGAAAAAATACATACATAGAAAAGATAAAAAAGATAAACTAGGTAGGTAAGGTGCAAAGAGTTTAGATGTAAAAAAACGATGAATTGATAAATTGACAAAGTAATCTGCCAAACCTTGGATAAACTGGGATTTGTAAAAGCCCCTATTTTTAAACAGTTTTATTTCCTCCTTCCTCCCCTTTAATCCTCACCTCTCTCTCTCTCTCCCTCCTCTCTCTCCTCTCTCTCTCTCTCTCTCTCCAGGAGCGCGCTCCCGCTCACAGCTTCCCTTCTTGCACCGTGCGCGCTCCCGCCTCAGTGGCAGTCCGCTCTCACGTGCTCTCTCTCTCGGTATAAAAGGCTCTCATCATGTCCACCGTGTCACCGGACAAACGGAGGAAAATGGAGTCAGCGCTGAACCAGCTGAAGAAACACACCGTGGTGGTGGCAGACACGGGGGATTTTAACGGTAAAACAATGTCAAATAAAATAAATACCCGCTCGGTTTGTGGCGCACGCTAACGTTAGCTGGGTAGCATCCGGGTTTAATGTGACTGACCTCTGTGTCAACATCAGTGGGTGGGAGAGCTGCTTGTTCGCGTTTATCTCGGGTTATTTGGACCCAGCCGGCTGTCAAGTGTTAACTCCAGTGAGGTTTACTTGAATACTATAATAGCTACTGAAGTTGACGATCTGATAATCCAATTATAGCTGCTTGTTCTTAAGGTTGCCTGGGTTAGTTTGCGTTAGACAACAAAACCATGCTGCTAACTAACCTCTTTGCTTAACTTATTCGATAGAGAAAGCAGAGTCTGTTTCTTCACAGTAGCCTCTTATTAACCTCACAAGTCACCACTTGAAACGAGACACCTGTTAAGCGTGTACGTGGTGGAAAAATACAGATGATTTGGAGGCTAAAATGAAGTTGTATACTGAGTTAGCACGCAACAAAGGGTGTAAAAATGTGATTTCTGCTTCCTCGTTTGTCACTTTCACGCCACAGAGTAAAAGGGCATGTTTCTCAATGGGTCAGAATGAGGAAATGTGTGTGATAATCTTGTTAAACTGTGATGCAAACCCCGATAGTTCCTCATCCAGAGTTTGCAGACTCAGGATGACATGACAGAACTGGTCTGTGACTCTCGTTACACAGCAGGAGCACTGGATGTTTGCAGAGACTTTTTAAATGACTTGTGTGTCTTTTGCACACTGTGTTTAGTGTCCTCGACTGATGCAGGGTTGTGTCTTGAGACATGCATGCAGTGAAAACGGGCACAAAAACACGTTGTCTGTGTCCTTTAGTGCAGTTCAATAGGGTTGGAATTTAATGTGATCAACAAAATGATAAGTGACCACAGTTTTTAGAAGCAGTCATTGTTTTAAGTACATCACCACACAAAAATACTAAACTTTATTTGATTCTGGCTTCTCCCAAAAGCAAGTATTTGCTGTTTTTATCATATTTTTATAGTTTAAATTTAATATCCTAAGGTTTAACCTTAAATCAGACTTTATTTGTATTGTGTTTTTATTTGAGGTTAGTGTAACTCTTTACAGCTGACGGACAAGATGATGATAATAATAATAATAATAATAATAATAATAATAATAATAATAATATACACATATAAGCTGTAAAAACAATTTGAAGACATCAAACTGTGGGCTTTACAAAAAAAAACAGTCGACAACAGAAATAGTAATTAGTTGCAGCTTGTCTCAATACAACACTGCGAAGCGAGCAGGGTGATTCACATAACAAAGCCTTACACATCAACAGTGTCTGTCATCGATCCAACAGTTTATATAAAACATCTCTCTCATTGTGAAAACCTGTCAGTACTGTCGTTAAAAAAATAAAAAAACGAGTTTGTGATAGTGATCAGAAAAGAGGTTCCTCGAGGTTTACACAGCCATCGGCTTCTCTCTTTTTTTTTTTTTTTTAAATTTAAAAATCCACACGTCTGTCTGATTTATGTAATCTAAGTATTTCTTGAATGTTGTAAGACTTCTCAGGTTTTACTGGCTGTAGGTTTAGACATGTAAAACCACTTCTGCTCCACATAAGAAGTGCAAGAACTTGGTGTAACAGCACACTCTTGCTTCACTTACGTAAGTTTCAGCAGAAAGAAGAGACTGAAAGTAAATTAAAGGGGCACTTGGGTAACTAGTTGGCCTGCACAGTTCTCGATAGTCTAAGGTTCCTCGTGAGATGATGAATTGTTTAGTGCTCTTTTTATTTTGTGAGTTAAATGAAATTAGGCTTTCAAAACAAACAAGTAATTTATAAAAATTCTATTCTATTGGGAATTCAGCCATATGTTTACAGTATAGGATATAATAGGATGAATTAAAGTTATAGTAGAGGTTTTGTAATGCTTCAGGTGCCTTTTTTCATTTCCCCATTTTGTGGTAATTGTGCTGTAATATGCATGTTAATGTAGTTGGTGAACATTCAAGGTCAACTTATAAAGTGGACTCAACATTCTCAACTACAAAATATAAAACCACTTCCGCTTGCACAGAAAAGGCTGGACTAACGTTATATTATTTACAATCTCTTATTTGCATTCACCCTTTTATCATAACTTCAAGGTATACATTTCCCCAGTTGAGGACATTAATTGTATTTGGGATGGATATTAAATTATGGAAAGCTTAAACTTTATTTTAGTAGACAGACCAAACTCCATCTTTTGGGCCTACTGCTGTAATCAGCACATCGACTGTGGTGTCTTCTGGAACTGTTGATCATGAGTATCTAGTCCAAACCCAGTGACCTGCATAATGATCCAATTTTTTTGGAAGTGGGTTGAAAAAAAAAAAAACTCTGGCTTCAGAACAGAGGTAGGCTTTGTTCTTTGGGCTGAAGAGCTGGCAGCGCCGACTGGACTGCTGCTACAATCGAGTGCTGACTTAAAACCTTTTGTTTTGGTGAAAAGGCCCTGCATGTCAAATTCAATTCTGGACTTAAACTGCAACAGGATGCTTTTAATAAACAGTTCTGTAGGTTATGACGTACCTTAATACAGGCCCTGTGACCTTTTTATTGCAGCACTTCATCAACATTATTGAACTCTTTTGGCCATTTATCCTAATAAAAGGTTTTCAGCTCGAATGATTCCATTGGTTACTTATTAAGGTTTGTTCCAGTTAGTGGGTAATCACTATGTCTGTCTGTTGCAGCATCAGCAGCTTTTATTAAGTATGGGAGTCTTAAGAATCCCCAACACATATAAAGCTTTTTAGTAATAAACAAAAGAGAATTAAATGATTAATCGATACCATACTTAAGCCTTTGTCTTTTTAAAAGTGGCGTTAAACAGTATTCTTTGTATGAATGGAAAAAACGATATCATCTGCCTTTTCATGTCATCAGTACTATTACCACCATCTTGCAATTACAACTCTTTGCACCTTATTTACCTATTTATCTTTTTATCTTTCCTATCGAAGTATTTTATTCTATTGTTATATTTTATTCTATTGTATTTTAATGTACCTGGCTGCTATGACGACCCAATTTCCCTTCGGGGATTAAATAAAGTATCTATATCTATCTTTTCTGACTCAGCAGTTTTTTTAGAGTACGGTGCAGTAATATTCGTACACAGTAGATGGTGCCATTTCCTTCCTCGCAGCAGCAGTATAGTGTAGGTTTAAAACACACAGGCTCTTTACTCTTTGACTTTGTATACGTACTCATAGCATTATTTTTGAATGAGATCAGTGAAAATCTTGAGTTATGTGAGTGTGTATGTGACTTTTAATGACTGCTCTGTCTTCCCATCATGCAGCCATTGACGAGTACAAGCCTCAAGATGCCACCACTAACCCGTCTCTTATCCTGGCTGCTGCTAAGATGCCAGCCTACCAGCCCCTGTTGGATCAGGCCATTAAATATGGCATCGCCAAAGGCGGGTAAGAGGTTGCACACAAATGAGATTGCATTACACTATGGGCCAAACCTGAACATAAACAGCAGTAAAGTATTTAAAGTAAAGTAGTCTTTTGCGAAAGAAAGGGAACACTTTGTGTTTTTGTAGATGTACAGTAGATGGTTCTGCTGTGCATGGTGTTGACACACTTCCTTAATTTACAACAGGCAGTTCATTGCAGTGTTCTTCCCTTTTCTGCTTAAACCTGAAATCTGTGATGCCATTTAGTGAATGTAATTATTGGACTTGTGTAGTAGAGTTTGGTTAAACATTAAACTTAAATATTTACAGTGTTTTAAGACAGTCTCCATACTCGGAGCTGTCAAATTGGTAGTAATTTGAATGTGCAAAACGTGATAAATGCACTTGTTAGGATAATAACAGCTGCACAATATCCATTATCATGAATTTCCCTTTTCAGTGTAACTCGGACATTAACGAACTTATAAGTGACAAAGTGGCTCTTCACAGCCTCTCTGTGCTATGTATCTGACCACTTAGTCATATTCAAGCCCGTTGCTCAGGCAGAGGTCTTTTATCTGTTCCTGAGGCGCAGCTGAAAACCAGAGGTGACAGAGCATTCGCAGTCAGAGCTCTGAAGCTATGAAATAAGCTACCTGAGGAAATCAGGGCTGCAGAATCAGTGACCTCTTTTAAATGTCTTCTTAAACCATTTTATCAGAGAGCTTTTCCAGATTTTAGTTGATTTTCATAGACTGCCCTTGCTAGTTATTTTTGTGTGAAGCACTTTGTGACAAGGGTTTAGAAAAGTGTTTTATAAAAGATTCATATTATTAATATTACTAATATTATTATTCTCTGTCCAGAACTGAAGAGGAGCAGGTCGCAAACACCATGGACAAGCTGTTTGTGAGTTTCGGGCTAGAGATCCTCAAGAAGGTCCCAGGCAGAGTCTCTACTGAGGTGGATGCAAGGTAGGCGGAGGTGTTCTTTTGTGTCTCGAGGTGCTAGTATGAAGGAAAACTTGTTACCTAAGGTTCACTGTCTTGAACTTTTCGTACGTCTGCATAGAGAAGCTTAAATTGCCTGTGTATTAGTCATGGGCTAGACTTGTAGGAAACGCACAACTGGTATTCAGAGAGCAACTTAATTGACATGACAACACTCTTTTGTTCACTGGAATATCATTGCACTATATACTTCACAAGGATGGAAATTTAAAGCAGTTTCCTTTATTTGTCAGCAGCCACATTACTGATCAATAATTTATTAATTAACAAAAGCTTATATATAAAATGCATGTTTTTCCTTCAGAAAAATGTTTAAACGCTGGTATGGCCTATTTGTGTTGTACAACCAAAGTTAAAGAGGAACCTGAATAATGAATTGAATAAACACAGTAAATTGGACTGCATTTATACACCGCCTTTATCTAACATGCTTTATTTATGATAATTATGTATACAATTTGCCTCTCATTGAGTCATTCACATATACATTCAAACAAAGCATCATATTAGACTCAGAAGCAGTTGCAGTTCAGTATCCTGCTCAAGGACTTGTGGACCTAATTGGAAGTAGTCTTAAATAAAACAAAATAATTGTGTCTCAACAGAGTGTGGTTGTCAGATGTGGGCTTATTGCTTAATGGCTGTGTTGTTTTTATTCTCCTAACAGACTATCTTTTGATAAAGATGAGATGCTTGCCAAGGCTCTCAGGCTCATCGCGCTCTACGAAGAGGCAGGCATCAGCAAGGAGCGTGTGCTCATCAAGCTGTCATCAACATGGGAGGGAATCCAGGCTGGCAAGTATGTTTTCTCTGCGTTAGTTAGACTGACATTTCTGATATACGTGTCAGTTAATGTCTTTCTGATGACGATGAGGTCTCATAATCCTTTAAATATGTGAACCAGCAACTGCAGGGTTTCTACCAGGATCTTACAGTCCCCAGTTCGAGTTCAGCCAGAGACCTTTGTTTTTGTCATCTTACCATCTGTAATAAAGTAATAAACACCCAAACTTACAATAAAATATAATGTAATATAACATTGTTTAGAATAAGAATAACGTAAGATACTGAATGCATCATTTAAGAATGAATTTGACAATTCCAGTCTGTCCAATCTGTAGAAGTTGACGGACTGACCAGATTTTCACTACATGAATTTTTCTATAAACTAAACCTTGTACCATCAGAATAATTTTGAAATCTGCTTTAATCAAAGCAGCAAATTGCAAAGTCAAACAGAAGTATTTTACTTGTTACTGCTCCTCTAAAACATCCAGTGACTGAATCCACCATAAATAAAGGGTATTATCACCATCAATAGGATACAGAGTGAGTATATGAATGACCGTGCCATATGCAAAAACAATTTTGACTTTTTTGTTTTATTTTTATCTTATTTTTCATCAGCTCCAATCTTGAGCTAACAATTAGTCAATTAAAGGATTCTGTGATTGAAAAATAATCTGCATCATTGCTCAATCATTTATCAATGATGAATTATCAAGCAAAACCACCAATATTCTCTGGTTCTAGCTTCTACAATGTGAGCATTTCCTGCTTTTCTCCATTTTCAATCATAGTAGATTGAATATCTTTAGATTTTGGACTGTTTGTTGGCCAAAAAACAAGACATTTGGAGACCTTACCATGGACTGGTGTTGCAGCCCCAATACAATCATATTGTAGTTTTGTGCAAACCCTGTCCAGTATGTCGCAACCAAGCCAGAGTTGTAACTAAAAAGGTTTAACACAACTAAAAGGAAATTATGATGAAGACAATCGAAATGCAACAAAACCAGGAGAGCAAGAAACTGGCTCTTTGTTTGTATATGTCGCAGCCAGCAGCATGTCCCCGACGACCCAACTCGTCCAACAGCCGGCTCCGAAGGGCGTCACATGTACATACTGTCCCTGTACTGTGCGTTATGGGAATGAAGTCATCCTCATGACAGTCAAAATATTCAAGGCACGGGAAGACCGCTTCATGAGACTGCTTCATTCAGACATTTATGGGTCTGGTGGATGGAGTGCAGATGGTACACACATGCTGTCCCATGCACTGTCACACGTCTTGTCAATGTGCATGCACGGTCACTCCCTAAGTGGTAAACGCATAAAACATCTGGCGTCTGCTGTTGGCTGTTAACAAAATACAGATGATGGAAAGCTGATGGGCCACCAACCCCACGAGGATGTTCAGAAAGAATGTGAAGAAATATAAATGCACGGGCTTCAGGCACAAAACATTGACAAAAAAATTCTTTAACGTGACAAGACAAAAACAACAATATTAGAGGGGTAAGCTGTGTAACGTGACCTGACTAAAACACATGGATTTGAGTGAAACGTGTTTTACGTTTCAGTGTCACTGTAATGCCTGATTTTGGTACCAAAACCTACAAGTCTACTTTGATTGCAGCCTGTATCTCTGTTAATAGGACTACCTCAGTTGATTCCACATTTTTAACAAGTACAAAATAATAAGCCTGAACTTGATGAAACTGTAAGGTGTGATATTTTAATATTCTGTGGCCTGTTCCCCTTTTTGAGGAGTTTCTGGTTGAAATGGGAAGCAGAGGACGAACACATTTACATATACATATTACTGTTTGTTTTTCTAAAATAAAATAATACTTTGTTTTTGTTTTTTGTACAGGGAGCTCGAGGAGAAGCACGGTATTCACTGCAACATGACCCTGTTGTTCTCCTTTGCTCAGGCTGTTGCCTGTGCAGAAGCAAAGGTAACCCTCATATCACCCTTTGTTGGACGCATCTTCGACTGGTACAAGGAGAATACAGACCGCAAAAGCTACGAGCCCCACGAAGACCCAGGTAATAAATGCCATCCTAATGCCATAAAACCTGCATTCTTTTGTTACATTATCAGTATAGTAGCACCAATGTCAGATTTGGTCATGTTGAATGCGAAAGTGTTTCAGTGCCTTCATGCAGCCATTTGACATCTGAACAGTTCGCTTTTTTCCAGCCTTTTGCCAGTTTGTCTGGTGGCTATATGTGGATGTGTTTTAGGCTGATGAAGGCAGTGGCCAATCATATGACTCCTCGTCAACTTCTTTTTTTTTATTTTATTTTTTTTTTTAAGAGCGATGTTTTCTTTATCTTTGCATACTGACAGTTTGATATCAGAGCAGAGGATGTGGACCAGGAACAAATATTCTTATCTGGTGCAGCACAGATTTGGTAGATGTCTGTTCAGGTTGAATTTACTGCCACCATGCTGCCATGCATAATAATTCTCAATTTAATTCTAATTTGGAATAACAATAATTTAAAAAAAAACTAAAAAAACAACACATTTGCAGTTATAAGTGGTCTGCTGTTTTGCAGGTCATGATATCTTTGAGTTGTTGTTGCATTTACTTTTTTTTGTTCTTTTACAAACAGGCAACAATAGATGCACAAACTTGAGTTGCTCCAATGATCTGTTTACAGTCTGCAAAACAATCTGCTATCTCATTCTTATTTTCATATATTATATTTTCACTATGAACATTACTTAACTCCCTAAGTTAAATGTGTTTGTATATTTGGTGTACTATAGACATGGTGTCTCTGCACCAATTTATGAGGCACGTTTCCTCCGGACTCAACAACCTACATACCTATGTTACACCACAAACTAAAACTAAAACTCGTGTAACAAAAACAAAGAGGGAGCCATAAAATTAAAATGGTATGTGCTTCAGTCGGATGTGATAATGCCATTGCACAAGAAGAGGACACAATAAGATGAAGTAATTAAATGAACCTCAGTCAAACCTCAGTGCAGAAAAAACGATGGATGTATGGCATTTCAGTTTTTTCAAGTATTCATTTGATTAATAATACTGAACATTACAGACTTATTATCACACCACACAGATCAGACTTTTTTTTTCATCTTTTTAATTTACAGTATCTCTTAGCAGGCTTCAGTGGATATTCAAGTCAGATGCTTCTTGTACATTGTGATTTTCTTCCATTGCACTTTGTCACATTTTGTATTTATCAATACTCCAACTTTTCCGCCTAAACCAAACAAACTTTTTTTTGCAATATTTCAAGATTTTTCTCTCCATTCAGCCGCAAATTCAAAAAGCATATTTAAAAACGAGTGGATGCAAATGCACTTACTGTGCTTCTCGCACCAGAGATGCTGGCATGAGCAGCTTTTAAAAGATTTCAGCTTTCTCCTCTGCCCCTAGGTGTGCTGAGTGTGACCAAGATTTACAACTACTACAAGAAGTTTGGCTACAGCACCGTGGTAATGGGCGCTTCCTTCAGAAACACTGGTCAAGTGAAAGCCCTGGCTGGCTGTGATCTGCTCACAATCTCCCCTGGGCTGCTCGCAGAGCTCAGCCAGGACCACAGCACTGTCTCAGAGGTGCTCAATGTGGAGAAAGGTACATTGGACTGCTGTCCTCATTAACTTTGCCAGTTTTACTTTAATTGTGCATGAACATTCACTGAACAAGAAACATAAAAAGGGAAGACATTTGATGTAAGCAGACCAAACCAGATTGGTAGCAGTCTAATTTTGTGTTTTGGCACCTCTCTGGACTTAATTTAATTTATAATATTTTCATTCAATTAGGAACCTTTGATCACAGCTTCCCTGTCATGCACCATGTGTTCATGCAAACAATCCTATCCAATATCCTGCTATTAAAATGTCTCATGGTACTTTGTTCTTGTATGAAGAGGAATAACAGTGTTGCTTTTAAAAGCTTGTTCCCATGAGCAAATGTGTTCATTGTCATCCCCAAACATTGGAGGGCACAGAGAGAGACTTGGGAAAGGATGGTAAATGGAGATGTTATCAGATGACGTGTCATCAGCTATATATTGAAACCATAATGTGGCCCACTCAGTGTCAACAAATTAAGCTTTTGCCGTAGATGTTAACACATTAATTCAAAAATAATTAAACATTACCATCCTGGCAGAATATTTACAGTTACTATAGAAATGTTTGTTCTTGAGGAAAGAATAAGATTGTTCAGTTTAACAAACTATACAAAGACTTTGGGCACTCTTGCACATAGATGTCTTATTGTTTAATTTAATTTATAGAACCTGAAAACTTAATCATGCACTTATTTCCACCTTGATGGTTTGTTTTTGTAGCCAAGGTCTGTGATCTGGAGAAAGTTCACATGGATGAGAAGGCTTTCCGCTGGGAGCACAACGAGGACCGCATGGCTGTGGAGAAACTTTCTGACGGAATCCGCAAGTTTGCTGCTGACGCCATCAAGCTGGAGACTATGATCAAAGTAAGAGGATTTTTCTTTTCCAAGATCCAAAGAAACAAATGTATAGTGTGTATGAACTTTGTCTTGCTGTCAATATAGAGATTTTTTTCATTTATGCGAGGTGTTTGCCGAGCTTTGTACACTGACTCTTTGGCTCTTTGTTTCTTAATTGCAGGAGAAAATGCTCAACGTGAAAAACGGCCAGTAAGGGACAGATTTGGCATCTCCGGCCACATTGACAGGAAGTATCAGAAGTTAGGAGGCTACTTTCTTCGTCCCCAACTCCCTGAAGGCCCAAACACCAGATGGCCTTCCCTCTCCTCATCTGACCAAACTCCAGGGACATCCCTCCTGAATGGACACTTTCCTCTCTTAGGCTGGGACTGACTGTTTTTTGACCAAATGTAAATGGTGATTGATGCTGATGTGGAGTTGTTGTATATTAGCCTAATATTTACAAGGAATTTGACCAGAAAGGGGAAAAACTTGAAGAAAAAAATGTCTTAATGAGACATGATCTCATTAATTGAAAAATCATGTGACTACTAGAAAGGACCATGAGCACTTTTTGGCCGTAAAGGACCACAATTTTGCTATTGACACCATTTGAACATGATTGAGGGCACAACTTGATAAAGACCATTCAACCATCATTCCTTATAATGTACCATTTTGCTCTTTCAATAAATGAAAATATCAGTCATTACAATTGTGTTTTGGTTGTTTTTCAACTGTTTCTGTCATCTGTCTGTCTCAGTCAGTGAGTTACGACGTGTTAGACCCACAAAGACTGCATTAATGGCAAAGTATTCAAAATGGTTGCGACAGTTGAGGTAGAACTGGTATTATTCTTATCAGTTCTGTAAAGCCCTCCTGTTGACGTAAGGCTTTTGTCATGCCTCTTTTACGATCTCTGGTTGAGCCGGTTTCACTCCATTCCATCTCTGCTCAATCTTGGCTGAACTCCACCTTAACTTCTTCAGACCTATATATAAAGCGTAAGTTTCCTTCAAACCCACAATGCTTGTTGTTTGAAGTCGAAACACAATCTCAATATTGGGTAGGACTTTGAAGTTTATGAAAGGAAGTGCGGCAATTGGCTTAAGGTAATGGGATTTATTTAACTTGTGTATTAGATGTTTGATTTCCCCTTTGTGTTCGCTGTATTTAATTGCATTTATTCCATAGTGGTTGTGGAGCGTTCAGTCGACCAGAGTTTGTAATTTAAGCAACAAATCTGTCAATTGGCCGTTTCTATAATTTCAGAAGTTTTCAGTACCTACTGAATTGGGTAACAAAGTAATATTTTAAAGTACATAATATACATACGTGATCTTGCACAGACTTGCTTACAATGATGAACAGAGCTTAAAGTAAATCAGTAAAGTCAGTAGTAAAGTCTGTACGGATCAACCAAACATGAGAAAGTAAGATTTAAAGCATTGTAACAGAATTATTGTATGACCGAAACCTCAATAGAACAATAAACTGAGCAAAGTATTTTTCATGGGTTTTCTTTAGAGCGCAAATTTGTAACCGCAAGGAACGTGGCAACATGTGGCAGTGATGGCATTCATTTGTCAGTTTATAACAATACATAGGGAAATTAAATATATTTAAAAATTGTTAAAAGCATCAGGAGTTTCAGCACTTTAAGAAGTTCAACCAGTGTTTTGTAATTAAGGGATATTTTCCTTCAAAGGTTTTGTTCAGCATACAGTCAGCAACAGTCAGCTATGCTCCCAAAATGTGTTGGTTCAAGTTTTAAACCTGTTTTGTGAATCATCTATTAAGAAAAGACTTCAGCTCTGTAACAACAAAAATATTCAAACCACACTGGACCATTTTACACTGCCACATAAAGGATTCAAGGTTATTTTATTATGTTTATTTTATGTATAATGTATTTATTATATTTTATTTTATGACATTAATTAAAACAACTTTTAAGCAGGTTTAAACTATAACCTTTTGGTGTAGTACATTTCCTAATAATATACACAAACTACACTGAGATCAGGGCCAGACCAACCTAGAGACCCAGAGGCGAAAATTTACAATGGGTCCCTGTCACAAGTAAATTCCACCATAGCCCCATCATCTATAATGGCCCTGGGCTGCAGCTATTTCTGGACGAGTTGGATAACTCTCAGATGGTTGATCTATTTACGATCTAAACACGTAGCGCAAGTTGCTTCACATATCCAGTAACCGAGTCCCTAGGTGGCGCAGGACAAAGTGTAACGTACATTTTTATGCAGATGACACCATTTTATATGCCATTGGCTGTTAATCTGGTCTTTGCAAAACTCCAGTCTGCTTTTGATACATTTCAATATAAAAGCAAAACTGGGTTTTTACCTGTAAAATTGGCAGAAAAACATCCAAAAAGATTTGTGATGAAATTACTTTTTATAGTGGTATGACTTGATATGATGAATTCATAAACTGTAATTGTGTCTGTTTACTATGAATTGACTACATATGTATTAATGCATGTTCATTCCCTCGTGTCTACCTCCGTTTAATCATTTGTTAAATTATATCTGGCTTCGCCCATTTTATAGTCACATGTTCCCTGTACCATCCAATCACGAATGTCCACGACCAATCTCTTTAATAAGGCAGTCTTCACTTCAGGGTGGCACCTGAACTCCTTATTTTCTGCATATGCTGTATAGAGCTGCAGGTTTACTGAAGAAAAACAGCAAAAATGTCCGATGTGTCTGTGTCTGTCAATCATTCATATCTGAATACTAGAAGAAAATACTTGTACTGTGTTTATTTACCGTCCTGCATTTCAACCGTTTGATCTTACGTATGTTAGGCATCACAAACCACAAATTGCACATACGTATACATACATATACGTGCGTGCATACGTATAGTACAGTAAATTACCAGTTTATGTCAGCTATAATTATTCAGTCACCATTCCACTATTATCTCTTTCACAATGTTCTTTCAAGACATTCACTGAGTGCTTCCGTCACACCACAATTCCTCTCAGACAAAACAACAGCCTTCTTTCAGAAAGTGTCAACACATATTATGCTGGGTAGGTTACATTCATTTATGGGTAATTCATTTGAAAAGAAAAGAAACATTATACATGTACCTGAATCAAGCTTTGTCTATGATGTCTGCTCATTGATGTTCAGCTTAATATTACAAATTTAACATCATATAATTAACCTTTCTGTCTATTTCCCAAAGTTTCAGACTTTCTGTCAGACTAAGGAGCTGCGATGCTGAACAGATTCAAACTGAGCATCCTTTTGCAGGGCCTGACTCTGTTCCTGTTAGGCCCGACCTGCAAAGCCTCTTCTCTGGGGCTGACAGTCCATGTTGTGCCCCTGGACAGCAATGAAGGGAGAACGGTGGGAAATGATTTCTGTCCCCTAAAAATCTTATTGTCACTCTGCCTTCAAGTCCAAACTCTTTAGCACTAACAGATAGCTCTTTTTATGCATTTCTATTCTTACCTTTCTATTATTTATTGTAGGGTTTTTTTACCATGTGAGTTGACAGTGAACTAATGCAAACCACAATGTAGGTATCCTTTCAGAGCTTGCAGCATTATGTTATTTGCATTTAGAGATCCATAGTTTTAGATTATGTTTTGAAACCATCCAAGCTTGGAGGTATTTGATTCATTAAAATAACCTAATTATCTAATCCTTAACTAAAACCTTGAAAAAGGTTTTCAGGGATTCATTATCTAAGGAAGAAAATATTTATTTTACATACATTTTAAAAATAATCCCTCTATTTTTCTTACTTACCACTCATGGAGACAGGGACCACTTACTAAACAACTTGTATCCCCAAACAACCATTTCAAGTCTATATCAAGAGGCTTTGTGGTCTGAAGGTACCCTTCGTTGTGAAACTGAGCAAGATTTATTATAATCTGTTAATTAATTATTTAATGGTCATATTAAACCCATTAATCAACTTCAACTTTATTGTCCCCAGAGAAATATTTTGTTCTGCAGCCAGGTAAAACATAGAACCCACTGAGACTTAGGCACACAGACTAAGGTACATAAAACATGAATACATCAAGTGACAACAATAAAATATTTAACCACCAAAAACAACACCATCAGTCCCCAGCAGTCACCCTGATAGACCCTGCCTTTGGTAGTCTAGACAGATTAGACCGCTGAACACCACTTTATGCTGTAACCTGTTATTGTCACCTGTTGAGAGATTACCAAACTAATTAATCATCTAGAAGGCGATGACTGGCTAACTTGGTAGTCAGAATAAAAGTATAGCCAAAATCAGTATTCTAACACCTCATGAGCTACAAGGTAATGACTGCAAATGTCTATGATTCACTCACCTCAATAATAAAATCAATCACTGCACTTATATGAGAGTTTGTCATTTTGTGTCTTTGCTTCTTGCAGGTGCGGGCTCATTTCATTGCCATCGCTCCCAGTCCTTGTCCAGCTTTGTCTGGACTGTGCGCTGAAGGCGAGGACTGTCTGGTCCACACTACCTCGTTACCTTTTAACGGCACCGAACCTGGTTCTGGCTGGTGTGTCCGCCAGTGGCAGAAAACTGTCTCTAGTAATTACAATGCCACCATCAATTTAGGGTAAGACCTACGTGCATCTGAAATTCCACACATTTTTCTCACGTAACCTATACACTGAACAAAAATGTTTTTCATCTTTAATTGTTGTTAAAAGTCTATGTTCTTTTGATATGTTTTTATATGTGAGGCAGTGACTCATTGTGTGTGCTGCTCAGTGCTTTTATTCCTTTAACATTCCTGTCGTAATCCTGCACTGTCTGTGTACCAAGAGCTGCAAGTCCAAGTCCTGTTTTCTGTTCTACTTAACAACTCAAATAAGATCAATGAAAGGACTTTCAGCTACTCTAATACACACTTTTTCCCCCTTAAATGTTTAGGCCGAACACAGAATTTTATGTATCTATGAATGCAGGACCAAAAGTTCGGGCAAACAGCGGGAGACTCAACCAACCTGCTTTTGTTGGTCTCCCTCCTCCACTAAGGTAATGAACACATTAAGTCTCTCTCACACACACACCCAGTCCCTATTATCCTTTCTTCTGTTGCAAATAGTCGAGTGAAGTTTAAATTGCACATCAAAAACACAAAGGAGGCAGAGCTTGAACACGAATATAAAAGGAAAAGGAAAATGAGGGCTTTATGGAACACAGGGTTGAACCAGTCAAGAATACTGAAAAAAACTGTTTACATTAAATTGATTTTAAAAGTTTAAGTTTTAAGTCACATGATTTTTTGGGTGCCTTAGGAAAACACCATCATGGCAAATGCCATTTCCTTAATTAAATATAATTTGTTTAATTTAAATTAAATGTCACTGAAGAACGTAAACCCCTATCAGCCCTGGACATTTTAAGGAATATACTCATTCACTTTCTTGCCTATAGTCTGTAGCCTAGATGAGATAACTGATAGTACTCACTAGTACTCTCATGGCTGTACAGTAAATGTGAAGCTACAGTAGGTTACCATCAGTAGCTGGCTAACTTAGCTTAACATAAAGACTGCAAAGAGGGGGAAACAGCTAGTCTGAAATTGTTCAACGGTAACAGTATCTGCCTTCCAGCATCTCTAACTCTCACTAATTAATACAGAACTTGTTTTGTTTAATCAATACATGTATAAAAAAGTGTACAAACAACAATTCCGAGTTTTGCGGGTTTATGTGTTGGACTATTTCTTGGACATGACCAGTTGCCTGGCAACCAGCAGAGGAGTCCAGACCAAGAAATAAGCACCTGACCAATTACTGTAATAATACATTACACCTCTTTTTTCAGTTGTACAGGTTATATCCACTTTCGCTTTTCTCCTTTATCATGAATATCTTTGTGTTGTGATTTGAGGGCTGATTATCTCTATGTTTCTGCAATGGGATCAGGGCTCGTGTGAACTGCCCCCACCACTTCCATTTGTCAGTGAAAGACCTTGATGGTGACAGGGTGCGATGTCGCTTTGCCCGCTCCGACCAGGGAGAGTGTCTCAACTGCACTCAGCATTCTTTTATAGAGCTGGATGAGGTGAGTCTAACTTCAGCATTAAGCACTAAACACACAGTGCCACAACACAGTTAACACCGTTTCAGTTTCATTTTTTCTGGGCAGATGAACTTAACTTTATTTTCTACGACAAAAAAGGCCTTTTCATTTTTTTAAGCTCAATCTTGTTACTGCCTTTCTGTTTTTTCTATGTGTGATGAACATAAATCTCAAAAACTCAAAATCCAGCTTCATCTATGAAAAAATCTATGTATTTCCAGTATATGATATCATGTGTTTATAGTTATAGGAAGTGCTAAGATCCTTAACTTAAGGAAGTAAAACTTTGAATTCAGAACTTATAATTGTAACATACAGGTGCATCTCAGTAAATTAGAATATCATGACAAAGTCAATTTATTTCAGTAATTCAATTCAAGTGAAACTTATATATCATATAGATTCATCACACACAGAGTGAAATATTTCAAGCCTTAATTTCTTTTGATGATTATGCTTACAGCTTAACAAAACCCAAATTCAGTATTCTCAGTAAAATTTTAATATTTCAGAAGACCAATACATTTTAATACAGTCCTGGTAGATGGCTGCCGTTGACTTCTGGACTTGATAAAACCATAGTGGACCAACACCAGTAGAGTGCGCTCCCACCATCGAAACTCAATGACTGTGGAACCTTCCACACTGGACTTCAAGCAACCTGTGGATTCTGTGCTCTCCACTCTTTCTTCAGCTTTGAGGAAGACTTTGATTCCCGCAAATGAAATGCAAACTTCACTTTCATCTGAAAAGGGGATTTGGACCACTATCGACCAACAGTCCAGTCCTTTTTCTCCTTACGCGGTAAGACCGCTTCCTGTCAGTTGGAGCCATGTCCTGGACACACTCTGTGTGTGGTGACTCTTTGACTGCCACCTGACCTCCAGCCTCCAGTCCACTCCTTGTGCATCTCCAAATTCTCGATGGATGTATGCTTCACCAATCCTCTCAAGGCTCGCGGTTATCCCTGTGCTGTCCCCTTTTTTCTACCAACACTTTTTCTGCCACTCCAACTTTCTATGATATGCATTGGAAGCCCAGCACTCTGGACAGCCAGCTATTACTTTTAAGCAATGACCTTTTGTGGTTTCCCTCCTTCGAGGGGGTGGCAATGACCGTGTGTATTCCTGGACAACTGTCAAGCGCCAGCAGTCTTCGACATGATTGTGGTAGCCTACTCGAACCAGACATTGGAGACCTTGAAAGACAATTGTAAGGCGTCAGCAGACTCTCCTGCAGGTGCTCACTCATTCGCACGATCTCACCACTCTCACCTGGATTAGAAAGTGGGTGACCATCGTGAGTCTACAAGTCGCTGAAATAATTAGCTAATAATTATAATTTTCTGAGATACTGAATTTTTGGGTTTTGTATGCTGTAAGCCATAATCGATCAAGAATTAAAAGAAATGAAGGCTTGGAAATATTTCACTCCTGGTACTGGTAAATGAATCTATATAACATATGAGCTTCACTTTTTGCAATTGCATTACTGAAATAAATGACCCACTTTCCATGAAATATTCTAACTTTATTGAGATGCCCTGTTACTGCAGTCAGGCCAGTTTGTACTGCAGGTACCTTACGTCACTTGAAGTATATTAAGCAAACTTATTGCTTATACTCTTCCTATACTATTGCAATATATTGTTATAACTAGTCTGTGCTAATTACATTTACGAATTCATATGAAGTTTAAAAGAGCAATGTAACTGGTTGTTGAGGAAAGAGCTAGTACGTGTCCATTACAGTACTTGAAATAAAATGTAAGTTAACCCTTCCAACACCGTGTACTCGTATCGTATGTGTAACTCTCTAAAGGCAGTGACTGTTATTTAATGTAAATTAAAGTAAACACAAGTAGTCTTTTGAAACACTGGATAAAGTGGTCCAGAGCGAGGACAGAAAGGTGAAAACAGAGACTCTTACTATGCCCTAAAGAGAATTGGCTATCTTCACGAAGCTCGTGTCAGTAAGGTGGCAGGAGAACAGATTCAGCAATCACGCTGAAAGAGCAAGTTACGCAAAGCCATGGGTTGGGCCAGTAACCGCCGGCACCTGCCAGTGTGTTTTGCCCATCCAAAGAGTAGTCAGCAGCAGTTTCAGGAAAACAAATCTCTGATAATTCCCTCAAAGTGGGTCGCTGCCCTTGGTAGTTAAGTTACTCTCAACCACCTTGGAAGCTATGTTGCAGATCATTCTATCATTGAAAATTGTTTCTTATTTATATGTTTCAATGAAGTGGTTCCCTTATTCCT